GGCTCCCTGAGAACTGACTCTCCTTGTTTCCTCAGTGGGGTTGGGTCACTGTTTCTATTTTGTTTCCTAAGTGGATATTCACCAAGCCCGGGACATCCACAAAGATCACGGGTCATTTTTAGTGTCCATCACGTCTATTAACTCTCCACATAAATCTTCTGTGTCAATGCTCACAGCCATCCCAAGGCTAGAGTTTCCATTCCCAGTCTACAGATGGGAAAGCCAAGGCCCAGAGAGAGGAGAGACTGCAGAGGCCTCCTGCTGTCATTTAGTACGGCCACCATGACCTAGGTCCTTCTGGCTCCTAAACTTAAATCTATCACCCCCACTATCCCCGGCTTCGAGTTAGAGAATGTATGTGCTGTGAGCTGACTCCTGGCATCAGATCTGGACTTGGCATTGACAGATGTCTCCCGGAAACACAGCTGTTTCGGGGAGGCAACAGCTTTCCCTTCATTTGCCACTGTACGCAGCCACGTGCATTAAAACACCTAAGGAAAGCCTCCCTGGCTCTCAAACACCAGACTGAGTAAATAATGTTTTAATCAAATAAAAGAACTTACAACCTCTTCTAGCCAAAACAGTGTTGGTTTCTGTAGGGGGTAAGAGAATGCTCTAAGCCAGGCACACATACATGCATACACGTGTGTACATACATACACACATAAACGTATCAGTATGCCATCGTTTATAACATTCCCATGTGCATCATTGAATCTTTTAGACTCTGTGTGTGTGTGTGTGTGTGTGTGTGTGTGTGTGTGTGTGTATGTGTGTAAGTATATGTCACATTTGTGTAGTTGTCCACAGAAGCCGGAAGACATTGGAGTCCCTGGACCTGGAGTCACAGGTGGTGGTAAGCTGCCAGATACAGGTGCTGGGAACCAAACCTGGATCCTCTGGAAGAGCAGCAGATGTGCTTAACCCTTAACGCTGAGCCCTCTCTCCAGCCCACCCCGCTTTGTACATTAAAGAGGAAAAGACCAATGAAAATGTTTTCATTCATTCAAATAAGTCAGCGATTCAGGCCGTCAGCCATTTATTCATCCACCCACCTGCTCAGTCATTATCAGTTATCAGATGGTCACTCATTTAACCGGTCAGCCTTCGTCTCAACAAGTGTTTGTCGGCCACCCACCCAACATGACAGGGTCTCACCAAGTTGCCCAGGTTAGCTTTGAATTCACTCTGTCTTCCCAAAAGGTCCTAGCAATGCTCCTGCCTCGGCCTCCTGAGTCGCAGGGATTTACAGGCCTGTGCTAGTAAACGAAGGAAGGCCATATGCTAGGCTCCATGCTAGTGGGGGTGGGGGCGGTTTACAAGATCCCCAAGCCTGTGAGGTCCATGCTGATACCATCTCTACTTCCAAGTTAAAGAAATGGATGCTTCAAAAGGGCCCATCTTGGGGCTCCGTGGATAAGGGGGCTTGCCACCAAGTCTGATAAGTGAAGTTCAATCTCCGAGCCCATATGGTAGAAAGAAAGAATTGACTCTTGCAAATCCTCCTGTGACCTCCACATGTACTCCATGGCACATACGCGCGCGCACACACACACGAACATAAAGGGGGGGAGGAGAATAAATTTCTTAAAGGCCACATCTCAAGGCCAACCTCCCAGTGACCCAGTGCAACCAGAGCAGGGTAACTGGTGTGAGCCAACTTTAGAGACTAATTCAGCGATGGGCAGACAGAGGCCTTCCCTTGACCCCCTTTCCCCATCACCCCCTTCTCCTCTCCTCTCAACCCCACAGCCAAAGCTGCACTCCCTCTGCTTTAAAAAAAAAAAAAAAAAAAAAAAAAAAAAGCATCCTCGCTGCCGGGAGCCAACCCCGTGCCACCTTGTGAGCCCAGCGTTTCGAGGGGCAGGCTTCCAAACAGGGCAATAATCGTCCCATTAAAATTAATGTCCATGAAGTGAGCCGTTAAAAGCGCGGAGATTAAAAGGGAGGGGTGGGGACCATTCAAAACCAAAGGGCTTTTTAAATAGACACTGTATCTTCAATCTTGGACCACTACACTCGGGCATTGGTTCAGCTGCCCTCCGTAAGGATGGCTGGGATTAGGGAGCCGGAGTCCCAGGAGATGGAGAAGTGGTTCTGGCCAGAAGCAGAGGGGACCAAGGTTTATTTGGGCCCACCGCATGCCAGGCGCTTGGCACGCAGTTCTTTCATTTAGTCTGGGCCCTGGTCCTGGGAGGGAGGTATTATCAGTCTAACCATGGCTAGGGCTTGGTGCCTGCGACGGGGTGCCCCAGTTCAGGGCCAGGCTTTGCACTAACCCTCATCTTGGGCAAGAGGCCTCATGGACCGGGGCCTTGGCTTCCTCATCTTAGAAACAGGGCAGCAACAGATTCTTGGTAGGAGCACAAGCCAGGCCCTTGGCGGGCCTGCTGACATGGAAGGTACTGGGCAGTGTGGGCAGTTGTTAGGGAAGATGAACTGAGACTGGGGGAAGGTGAGGGCCACCAGAAGCACACACAGCGTGGCTATGCTGATCTCTGAGTGTCACCTCACCAAGTCGCTAAGGGAGATACCATGAATGCAGATGAAAATAAGCCAAGCTGAGCATGTCGCTGCACATCCGTGGTGATGTATTGTGTACCCTAATAAAGTTTGCCTGAAGATCAGAGAACAGAACAAGCCACTAGATGAAACATAGAGGTCAGGCAGTGGGTGGCACACACCTTTAATCCTAACACTCGGGAGTCAGAGATCTGTCTGGATCTCTGTGAGTTCAAAGCCACCCTGGACTGCATGAGATTGACTCAGTCTAGAAGACAAAACAGAGCCAGGCAGCGGTGGCACACACCTTTAATCCCAGTACTGGGAAGCACACACACACCTTTGATCCCAGGAAGCGATGCCTGGGCGGAGAAGGGTATATAAGGCGTGAGGTGACAGGAACTAAAAGTTCTTTTTCCGCTGAGGACGCAGAAGCAAACAGAGGATTTGTGGAGTTGGCAAGGTGAGGTGTGGCTGGGGCTTGTTCCTTTGTCTCTCTGATCTTTCAGCATTCATCCCAATATCTGGCTCCAGGTGGGTTTGTTTTTTTGTTGTTGTTTTGTTTGTTTTATTATAAGACTGTTTCGCAATTCATGTTACACACACCTGGTGTCCCACCACTCAGGGGGACCAGGCAAGGGAGTTTCAAGTTAAATGCGAGTCTGGACTACATAACAGGCCTGTACGAAACAAAACAAAGACAACAGTCACAATAACAACAAAAATCACCAAAAGGTGATTTCATAGTTTTATGTCTTTTGGTTTGGTTTTTTTTCTTTTTAACACTTACATTTATTTATTTGCCTATCTATTATTTATTTATTTATTTATTTAATGTGCATGCATACACATAAAAGCATAGTAAGCATACGGAGCTCAGAGGACATACTGTGGGTATCCATTTTCGTTTTCTCTTCGGATCACACGGATTCACAGGACTGAACGGCCACGGAGTCATCCCTGACTCTTTGGGTTTTTTTAAAATATAAAGTTCTCCCTCGGTAGCCCTGGCTGGCCTGGAACCCCTATGTGGACCTGATTGGCTTTGAACTTGTGAGGATTACAGTCAGGTGCTACTCCACCAAGTTCATGGTCATGAAAAATCTTTTCCAAGGCGCACCAAAGGCCTCCTCAGGCCTTGACAATATTCTGCAGGTCTGAAGGGGCGACCCTGAAGGGTCTCGAAGGTTCTGAAGTCACTGGCTTGGAGGCACCTCCCTGCTCCTCCAGGTCCAAATCCCAGTGGATATGACAATGGGGGGGGGTCCTCTCTGACACCCTACTGAATCCCAAGAACTAGTCGGCACCCTCCCCAGCGTACTTTCCGGGCTGGAGCGGAACTGGATTGGTCTTCAGGTTAGGTCATCTCACCAGGCGCCAAGCCAGTGTCTTACAGGGTCCACTACAATCCATAACCCCATTAGGAAAGATAATGTTCACAAAGCAAGCAGGCAATAAGAACTTCTCTCTAGAAAGGTCCCGGGGCGGGGGCGGGGCGGGGTGGGGACTGGAGTGCAAGGGCAACTCGCCGGAGTTGGGGTCCAACCCCTCCAGCTCCAGTGCCCCCCTCACCTCCATTTCAGATTTCGGGCTCTCACCCCAGGATGTGCTTAGGTCAGGTCACCAGAAGGGGGTGTGAACGCATGTTAGGAGTGTGTGAACCGACCCAAAAGCTGACAGGTGCCGAGTCAGCCCCGAAACCGGGCAAGTCGACTAGAATCCCCCCTGCCTCCCGCCACCCAAGCCACACAACAGCCCGGGGATCTTTTCAAACAACCACCGAACTCGCTGGAGCGTCATCCCCACTGTGCGCCGAGCTGGCTTCGCAGGCTGCGTCCGAGCTGGAGCTCCCGCATCCCGAGAATCGAGACAGTGGACGGACGCCTTGGGCCAGCATCCCCGAAGCCCCGCGTCCCTGCCTGTCCCCGCCTTGCCGGCGTCGCTAGGGTTAAAAGTTACCTCTCGGCTGCTTCTCCTGCACACATACACACACACACACACACACACACACACACACACACAC